CAATTTATTTACCTTTGCTTTGCTGCATTTCGAGCATGATTTCTCCTTTTTCTTCTATGTTTTGTTGGACCTTATCAATATAAAATAAAAGAAAGAAAGAACGTAAATAAGTAATACATGTTCAATTTCCTCACGACCTCCCGGAGTGTCTCCACGTCCGGCACCACGCTGGCAGCTTCCGGTTCTACCTACTGGTCTTAATATTTCGCTAGCCACCGCTTCAACTCCTCTTTTTCCGCTTTAACCCTCTCCAACTGCTTCATAATGCTAGCGGCGGTGGCAGGGCTCTGGTGACATTTTCGTCCATAAAACATCTGGGCTTATAGGATATTTACTTACTACATCTAGCCAACCTACACACTAGTCAGATTTTCTGTCATTTGTATACCTTCCATTTGTGCCACCTCTTCCTCTCTTTCTTCCCCTGCTACCCTATCTTCTATTTGTGCTACCTCTTGTTCTCTTTCATCGAAACCGAAAAAACTTACCTCGGGCTTGCTGTTAATCTCAATACGTAAGTTTTTGTCATCTCTCTGTTGTAATTGTGAAATTTCACAGAAAGCCGTTGGCTGTTGTTTTCCAAAATTCTTTACATGGTTTATAAAAAGAGTACCATCTATGGAGAATGGAGAGAACACAGAGTTGCTTTCAATATATCTGAAAAATGGTGGAAAAAAACTCTCACAACATTTTGCATGAATTTTGATTGGGTTAATTTCCACAGCATGGTAGCATACAACAGAAACAAAATGTACCTCCTTTTTATTTCGGTATTTATTTCAAGAAATGAAAAAAAAAAAAATATATAAAGTTTTCTTATTTACCTATACTTGATCGAAAATTCGCTTCTTATGGAGACTGGGTCTGATCTTATAACTACTGACAGGGAGAAATGGATACACTCCTTGCCAATTACGGTAATTTGTTAGAGTTAAGATTTTGTATGTGGAATATTATAAGCTCCCTTGTGATTCGGCTTTTGAAGGTTTCACCAACAGATCCGCTACCCATTCGCACTACATTAGCAATACTCAGTTATGCGTACGTTTGCTTAAGCAACTATATGTATGCAATCATAAACACTTATGTGCGGTTGTGCATGCGTTAATTAACTGGTTTTTTAAGCAATGATATTTATTATTAGTTGAGGAGTTTGCTTTTTTTATGTTGATGATTGTGTGTGTGTGACATAATTGCTAAAAGAGCTATGCATCGAACGATTTGTTCAAAATTGTGGCAAATTTACCGATAAACCGTCAATTTCGTTATGTAATAGGCTAGCAGAGCTAAAAGTCGAGCCTCCATTTATATTATGTTCAGGGTCAGCGTTGTGTTTAGTGTTAATGTGTGTGGTTTCAGAGGGGTTCACGTTAGAACGAATAGGTGATTGTAACCCATTACGATTATGGTTAGCTTAAGTAAAAACGAAGTTGAAAATTGATTGTATAAATTCATAAATTCGTATATATACGGGTTATGGTATCAATGATGTTAGTCCACAATAACAATGCAATACTAAACAGGAAAATTGTGTAATAATTAAAACAAAACAGGTATGATAAAAGCAAAGTCCCTTAATTCAATTGGCTCTATGAAGCGAACTCACTTATTTAATTGGTAATAATAGGTAAACTCCGAATTGAAATTAATTTTTTGGCTATTATAACTTACATACAACACATAAATATATTGATATAAAAATTCTGCATTTAGGCTGACAGCACTCGGTTATCTTTGTTTGTTTTGCTGGCCGATCTTTCTGGCAGCAGCTGTTAGTGACTTTAAGTAATTTAATACTTTCAACGATGTCAAAACCGTTTTTATTAGTTGTTGAGGTTGATTTTTATCTCAGGTAATTCGCTTGTCTTGTGGTTGTAACAGCGCTTAGGCGTTCTCCACAGTTTATACTTATTTGGCAGGGACATAGTTGTTTTGGGTTCAGTGTGTTTAAATTGGCTATTCTTTGACTAAAT